TTCAGCTTTAAGTTTTCAGAAAAAAAATTTTTTGGGTTAAAAGCGCCATTGCCCTTTACCGTGTGAGTAAAATAGCCGCTACTGTCGATCCCTTTATTTGATTGTTGTTTTTTTCTCCCCAGGTGGTATCTTCTTTTTGAATGGAGGGGACAGAATCCAGGCGACTCTGTCGGGGCAAGGTTTCATACAATATGGCTCTAAGTCAACATTCTTAGGGCTCTTTATGTTGTCAGTGTGATAATGTCAAGTGGCCCCAAATGAAATTTTTTACTGTTTATTATGTTGCAGCGTTAACAAAACAAAATGCCACTAAATCAACATAACCACATATCCATGTTGGGCGTCTGATCAAATGATGGAGCTGTAAACGAAATCCTTTAGGGCCCCCTTATGTTGAAACCTGAAAACATTACTATGTTTCTAAGCCAACATTATTATTTTTTGAAATTTATTTGATCTATTTTGATTATACACATTTGTCCCATTGTATTTTATGCTAGCAATTAGACCCCACTTTCCTCAGGTTTGTCTTCAGGACAAAAACTATATATTCTAAAGCGCTATCAGCGTACTCGTAAATTTAGCATCCTTTCGAAATGATTTCACTTAAGCACCAACTGAAATTAAATATTTCAATATGAAAGCTAAAATGAACAGTTTGTCCTCTTAAACTCAGTTGAAAAAATGCAAGACCCGTGGCGTTCATATGAACACTACAATTACCGTGCCTGAACCCGACAGTGATAATTACTTTGTAATATAGATTTTCATGTGCATTTGCAACAAGTGTAATCTAGATACATCCATTTCATTGTCGCTTCATTTATGTGCTCATACAAAAAAAAAGAAAAAGAAGAAATCCCCCTCCCCCTCCCCCCAAACCTGAAGAGAATTTTTATTTAAAAAAAGAAAAGAAATTCAAGTCCAGTGGCCAGTTGGTTCTGGTTCTGAAGTGTTATAACTATGTATCCCAATTTTGATCAAGCTCCATTAATCCACATAGAAACATATGTGGTACAATTATAAAATTTTCTCATGTTATTTAGTAGATAATATTATATCAGAAATATAAATGGATAGAAATTTAAATTTTCTTAAGAGATTTAAAATACCCTTTTAAAAATGTATTTAAGACAAACAATTAATTAATAAAATGATCCAAAATAAATGAAAATGTTTTACTTTTATTGTATTACAATTAATCTTTTCATTTTCAGCACACGCGTACATGTTCTTACGAGGACAAACTAGTTTTAAACTAGACAAATTTGACACAATCCGTCCAAACCAAAAGTAAAAGTATTTCTCAAGCGCCAACAACAAGTCAACTCTCGTGAACTATGCAACTTCACTCACATCACAATTGACTTCCAGAGTGATTTTAGAATTATTTTTTTTTTTACAGCCGTGGTGGGACATACTGTGGCATGCTGGTTAACTATAATAGATTTAGGAACAAATGAAATGTTTAAACCATCGGTCCTTGTTTTGAGAAAAAACAAAATGGCCGTGATCAATTTAATCTTAGGTTATCTGTGATAAAGAGGGTTGCACGTATCCGCACTTTTTTTTTTTTTTTTTTTTTTGATCTTTTTTGTTTTTTTTTTTTTTTTTTTTTTTTTGGATCTCTTCTGTTTTGTTTTTGCTTTTAGAAATGCATATTGCTTCAAATAGTTCTTCAAGTGAAGGCAGCTTTAATTTTTTAAAGCGATATTCCTTGCTTTCTTGATAATTCAATTTATTCGATGTTACGTGATAAGAGATGAATTCCCACACCAGCTGGTAATATTGAAGTTTATGAAAATTTCCCCTTCAGATATTAATCCAACGATGATAGTATTGTTATGTAAGGACGTATTTACGTCACATTTCCCCGTGCCGCGAACTCTGTATAACCCCCGTCTAGCAGACGCGTTCTTGTTGGGCGTGGCCTATTTCCCTTTCATCTTTCGTGTTTACTGCCGCTGCCTACTGAAGATAGCTCTCATAGTATGTTGTGGAATCTTCGCGATTTGACTAGAGGGGTAGACAATGTCTCAGTCGTTTTTGGAATGCGTCTTACTTTGCATATATCTAAAGGGTTCAGAGAACATACGGAGATGTATTGATATATATTTTTCACTTCACGAGACAAGTGTATTATTTTTTGTGTACTGAAATGTTTTTATTTGCATTCACCATTGTACCTTATTTTTGTGTGCCGGTACAAGACATTCCCATGCTCTGTAAGTTGATGATTGTAATTATATTTCTTTTGTTTTGTAATTATATTAATACTCAAAGAAATCTTATTATTTGTAATTAGTACTGTTTTGAGTGTCATATTTTTGCTATTGTATTTCACTATGGTATCGTCCTTTGTTAGGCACATTTTAGAACGAGCAAATAATTTAAGCTAAGACATTAATTTCTCACTATAGAAGGCAGTGCGTAACAGTATCTTCAGAAAAAAAACAATGATTGAAACAGTGTTGCTTTGGTTCTGTATATCGTTGTTATATATTGTATACAGGACAAGAGAGAGAGCAAAACTTTGTGGCGCCCCGTTCTTATTTCTCTAATTAGTGATATTTTAGCGTTTACCTTCAAATACTGTGGGCGATTTGTTAAAAAGTTCCATATCAACGCTTAAATATAAGAATTTACATTTACCGAAGAAAGCTTTTTAGTCGTACGGCGCCATTGGGTAGTGGTAAATGCTAGTGAGAAGTCTAAGAAAAGCACCCTAGAATATTTATACAGTTGTCTAGGTCATGGTAAAATCTTTTGAACAAAAATTAAGTTAGCATCCTTGGTAATACTGGCAAATTATAAGCAAATTGGTGTAAGGAAGAGGTGGGTAAGTTTTTTGCCGCACTTCATTTAAAATTTCACTCTGGATAATTTTCAAAAAACTTTTAATTACGTTAGTGGTAATTGCGAAAGGATGCACGCCGTTATTTGCAAGTGACTTTGGTTTTATTTCAAATTCGTATAATCTCTGAAGTTCTCCACATCCTTTTAATGTTATGAGTTTCATAAACTTTGTTAGTAGTTTATGTAACAAAAACATGAATGAGAGCCGTTCTGAGCAGAGTTTAACACGCCGTCCGCTTAATTTGTCTGGCCCCTGATGCCTTGGCTGCATCCACTTGTTTAAATAAGGATATCGCGTCCTTTTAAGTGAACAATAATGGATCATAATGTGCAGTGCTGCTATCGTTAAATGAATCCATCTTATCATTATTCGCATTTCCCAAAATCATTACTGTCAAAAAGTCAATGAAAGTCAGTTATATTCATCAAAAAACCTCTCACATCCTCAAATTACAAGCATTCTCACTTAGATTTTATACCATCCTATCACGTCTTTAAGTTATCAAGTATGCTTTTAGGAACCCCTAGTGCATAATTTCCTCATCACCACCAGTAACAGAAACATTGCAAATCCCATCTAACATGCATAGGAGCAAAAATGATCAATAAATTGATCGTGGGCCCTTAAGATATAGAAGAAGAAGAATATGTTTTTTGTTTTTTTTTGTAGCGTTATTTACTCTAATATATACATATATATATATATATATATATATATATATATATATATATATATATATATATATATATATATATATATATATATATATATATATATATATATATATATATATATATATATATATTGCGGTCTGGCATACCTTCGTGCAGCCCTTGAAGGGAGGACTCAACGGGGACGTCCGGTGGACTGAAAACGCTGCGTTAAAAGCGTTCGCGGTTCACTCTCCAAGGCCTGAACGGCTTTGCATCCTCTCCGGGGGGAAAGGTGTTGCGTTACCTCACCCCACCGTCCAGGGACTTGTCCGATCGGGACGAAAGCGGTCGCCTAGGAACGGCTTTCTCGGGGCCGCGTAGCTAAAATCATCGTTATGGGTTTTAACCGCCACCCAGGCCTCATATCCATTAAAGGCAACAATTAATCATGTTATTACGTTACGTCCGTTTCGTTGGAAGTCATGCACGTGGCCGGGGTTTTAGGCTTCGGGAGGGGAACCTCCCTACTAGTCAGGCGCGCCACGAAGAGGCAAACCCAATGTGACACCTCCGCGTTTCCTAGGTGGTGCGGGACTCGACTTAGGGGCGTCCAGTCTTCGTCCTCCCCGCTTTCGTAAATTTAAATGGTTCTATTGTCTTCTTAAAATAATGATCCCTCTTTTTGTACCCAACATTTACACGCATGTTGAACATGAGTGTGCAAAATGTTTTCTCTAAAAAAAATATTGTGTTATCTTATTTTTCTTATCAGATACACTTTTAAACATTTCAAGGCTATACCATGTAAATATGCAATGGTAATTGAGCGTGTTATACAATTTTTGGGTCAGACGATTTATCTATTAGTCTTCGAATCTACTGCTTTTCACAGAGGCGCTAACAAAAAAACCAAAAAAGTACAAATCACTTAACACTGTGGCACCCAAAATCACTACTTTGAAGTTATTATTGTTGTTATTATTATTATTATTATTATTAAGTTCCCTTTCAATGATTTGAATTAATTTAAAGGGGATGAGCAGAATAATTGAAATAACCGACCCATTCAACGCAGTAGAGAAGTCATCAAACATTTTTGCCATTCAAAGTCAGCTTTACCCTCGCCACATTTTACCAACTATAATAGGTAGTTTATTTAGACACAATCAACTTGTGACATTAAAGCAGTGTAGATGAACTTTAATTGTTTGAACAAAAAATACAATCTTGGACGTTGCCATTAAAAACCTTATTCCGTATAATAGAAACAAAAATGACTTTGAGTTTTTTTTGTTTTTTTTTACATAATATATGCACGTGCAGCCAAAAAAAAAAAAAAAAAAAAAAAAAAAAAAAAAAAATTTTAAGACAAATTACTTTAAAAAAAAAAAAAAAAAAAAAAAAAAAAAAAAAAAAAAAAAAAAAAAAAAAAAAAAAAATAAAAAAAAATATATGCACGTGCAGCCAAAAAAAAAAAAAATAAAAAAAAATAACAGACAAAATTTTAAGCCCAATTCCTTTTAACAAAAAAAAAATTAAAAAATTTAAAAAATCAGCATAACGAAAAGAAAGTTGGAAAGTTGAAAGAACCAATCTGTAAAAGATATAGCAGCTATGTAAAATTAAAATGTTCAATTCGGTAAATTTCATGTGGAGTTAGCATATAAAATCTTGAAAGCTTAACACAGATTATAGTAAAAAATCAAACAATTCTTTAAAAGAAAAAAATTGATAGAAAACAAGATCAAACGAGATACTTGATAGTGTTTTTGTTTTTTTTTGCATCATTTTTTTAGTTTTTGTTGAAATAGTTTTCCTCAAAACCTGCCATTAATTTTAAGATTTTATAAAGCTAGATAATGATGTATTTGATGCAATAAACAATTGAATAGCTTTCATGCACACTTAAAACAGGGCTTTATAAGAAAGAGAATATATATTTTTTTTAAATATTCAGTGAAAAGTGTATATTCATAAAAATACTGCAAAATATGGGATATAAACATGCAATACTGTGTCCGGGGAAAAAAATGGGAACCTTTTTTTGCAATGTTAAAAATCAGATGGTAAATATTCATCAATTTTTTTTAAGATTCAAAAACTCTAACAGCATATAACGTTTTTTTAAAACTATAGCTTTCGTTAGAAGTGTCCAACAGCAACTTTAACACAGGCTTCAAGAACAAGCTTTCAAAAGAAACAGTTGAGGCGACAACACTAGACACATTTGCGTCTATTGCCTCAAGTCTTCCAACTCCCATTGCATGATTCCCTCACAAAGTAGCACTTGTAATCATTGAAATATCCTCATCAGTCCCAGGCACAGAAACATTGCAAATCCCCTCTAGATGCATAGGAGCCAAAATGATCAATAAATTGATCGTGGGCCCTTAATATATAGAAGAAGAAGAAGCGCTCTCCCTTAACCAATCATTATCAAATGGGTTCCCTGTTTTCCGGACACAGAGAATTAGATGTTTTTAAATTTAATATAATTAACAAAAAAAAAACCTTCTCATCCAAGGGAATTATTAGAATAGACTACATTTGAAACACATTTAATTATTGAAATTACATAATATTACATGTTTTTTTTATATAAGTTACTTTTATGCTAATTTAAATAGTAATTTAATGACATGTTATTTTTTTAATCCTATTGTAAAAGCAAAGTATAACAATTAAAAAGAGATAACATATATTTTATGTATAAACATAAACATCGATGCCAATGACAGAATAACATTAACACCGAAATAATGTGTAAATGTGCTATCACAGTGAAACAATACGTATGCATTCAAATATACATGTTATAAAATTGTACATGCATATCTTATACAACATGTAACCTATGAAATCGACAAATTTGTCCTGTAGTGGGACCTGTAAGATAACGTATTTATTAAGTACAAAGAATTAAAACTTCAAAATTGTAAAAAAAATATATAAAAATTAAAAATTGAGTAAATACATGTCAGATATTTATGATCATAGGATAGCCAATTTTATTTTTTAAAATACAACAAAGTAATACAACAATAATTTATATACAGCTTACGAATGCTTTATTTTTTACTATTCACTTTAACCTTCGTCGCTTGGTTTGGCATTCTGAATTAAAAAAAAAAAAAACGTTCTAAAGCATCATAAGCGTACATCTAATTTAGGGATCCTGTCGAAAACTACTTCATTAAAGTATCAATCAAAATTTACATTTTCTTCAATAATTTTATGCCAGATTTGAAATAACTCTTGTAATTTAGAGTAAAAGAAACTAATATAGTCGTATAAACTATAAGTAAATTACTCTAAAAGGAACAAAATATTTTTCACCGACGCCAAATCCATCACCGTTTATGAATTAAAATAAAATATTATTCCCGACAGGAGCTAATTCAAAAAGGGGCTAATTTTAATAATTCTTAATAAATGGTCTCCAGAAAAATAATTCAGATAAATATTCAAGTTGAATTTTCAAATTCATCCCAATTAAGTCCTATGGAATCAGTCAACATCGAAACGAAAGGGTCAGTATTTCTGTTATTCTTGTTGTAGGCTAATGAAGTCGCAGCTTACTACTCGGGTGGACTTCCTGTTGAATTGCTCCTGGAACCTTAACGAAATAAAAAAAAAATAATTCAATAATTTAAATATTTCTAGAGTTCGAATTACAAATCTTTAAACTTATATGATTAGTATTTATCGCTTAATTAACACAGTTGATAAATTATTTACACGTTTACTCATCCTTTTATGTCAACCATGTGACGGGAATATGAGCAAGCTCGCAATTAAAATTGTGATAAGGTACACGCTATCTGGGTAAACACATTTCATATAGACACCAAGGTGTACTATTCAATATAGACACCAATGTGTACTATTCAATATAGACACCAAGGCGTACTATTCTTAAGCTAGCTTGAAATATAAAGGGTATTAAGGTACCCACCAGAAAAGAAACAATTTTCGACAGACAACAAGTTGTACTATATAATATATGATCCAGCTTAAATTACTAATGGGATAACGTGCCCAGCGTCCCCAGAGCAGCTAAATGGTTCAACCAAAACGTAGTGATTTGTTAGAGAGACGGATATGTTGATGCTATGTCCAAGGCCATAACCTTGGGAAAAACCGAGTATATAACTAAAGTCGTGAACAAATATTTGTAGCTAAAAAAATACATTTCCACATATTAGTGCCATTGTGGAGAAATATGGCAGATTGTCAAGGGTATGAGAATCACTGTTGTTATGTGTAGAGCGTTGTTGTCATGTTTGATAGGGAAAAGATGTTAGTTAGAGATTTTATGTGCAGTCGTATCGTTTGTGTGAGAGTGTTGTGACGTAATTGTGTAATTGGAAGTGACGCGTTAGTTTTAGTGGTGTTAGAGAAGATGGATGGCGGATGTGCTACATTGACTGTTGTGAATTGAATACTGCTAAGTGCTGTGCTGAGAAGATTTAATTGTTGCTCAGAAATTAAGTATCAAACATAGTTTGGGAATTGCGGTTAATTAAATGAAGAGTTGTGCTGAAAGGATTCGATTGTTGCTCCAACATTAAGTATCAACCTTGGTTTGTGAATTGTGGTTAAATAAACTTTTGTTTACAACGAACCGGTTGATGTTTGTTGCATTGGTGACTGTTGCTGTATGATGTACTGCCGAACGGAATGAAGTGAAAGACTTGACCATACAGAAGAATATTTTTTTGACACAGATGAAATTTGCGAATTAAATGAAATAAAGTTGTATATATATCTCTGCAAATCTTTTTTTTTAACGATGCGTCGAGAGTTTCCTAAAAACCGTGGTCTTGGACCTACCTACTGATCATCTTTGCTTCACACCGAGTTGCTACTGAGCTCACACACCGACGTCAAGGTGATGATCTTGTGGAGAAACTAACATGAAGAGTCCAAGGAATGAAGTATTCGGTTCATAATCAATGAAGCCTTGTCCGGAAAAACACACCTGAATTTTGTCTCCGGCTTGCAAATGGAAAATACCACCTGGAAAAAAAAATATGTAAATGCAAATCTATATTCTATAGTTTATTTTTTCCAAAACAGTAATCGGATCATAAGTGCATTTTAAATGGTTAGCGTGCGCTGAAGATTTATTTTCATCGAAGCTTAAATCTATTGTTTAGTATTTAAAACAGCATCTAAAGTTTAACGTACATTGGCAATCTGATTGTATTTACACTGCGCGATTAAGCGCCCTTCGAGGATTCAATTAAAAGTACATTCTAAAATACACTGACCCTTCGAGTGATTAGAGAGGTACAGCAGTCCCTCGCCCCTTCGCGCCTCGAATTCCACGGTTTCACTGTATCCCGTTTTTTTCCCCATTTAATAAACGTGTATGCATTAAAAAGTTGATCGAGATGGTGAAAAGTATACAACACGCACTGGATCGTCTGAGTCAGTATTACTATCAAAATTGCTGTACGTGGCGACTGTAGACTTATGTGCTCGAGCCCCCCCCCCCACCGCCCCAATTGTCTAATAATTTTAAAAGCCGTATTCAGAGGGTAGTGAACTCGCACTGGATCGTCTGAGTCAGTATTACTATCAAAATTGCTGTACGTGGCGACTCTAGACTTATGTGCTCGAGCCCCCCCCCCCCACCGCCCCAATTGTCTAATAATTTTAAAAGCCGTATTCAGAGGGTAGTGAACAGGTTTTCTAAGCTCCAACTCTACGAATGTATTCTATTTATAAATAAAGAACCCTTCTTCTCGGAAATTCATGTATCGCGGCCGAGTCTGGAACTGATTGAGAGCGATAAATGAGTGACGACCGAAGTGCTGTCCGCCTAAGAGAGCTATACGATGCTTTAACCATTCTACTTTGAATCCACCGCTCTGCCCTTTCGCGGTGTAAGCTCTGAACATGATTTTTTTAAAGTAATTATGTATCGTCATGCGTGTACTTACAAATGTAGCATATTGAAAAGAGTCCTTTGGTGAGTACATGAGGCGTGTAACGATAGATTTTTTTCAAAAGAATTGTGTTACATAGAAGTCGGATGACAAGGTTAGAACGTAATAATTACATCTTTTGGCACTGGCTCGATTAGATACGTCATGCATTTTAACAAGAGGGTTATTGTGACACTGAAAATCTGCACTTTATTGTGTCTTCAGTTTAATTATCGGTCTCTTACGTTAGCCGATTATCTTAAGTGTTTTCTTATCGTCATCAGAGACGCCTACCATCGGCGCATTATTAATAAACCACAGTTGTTTATTCAGTCAACAAAATCGGAGATTTGCTCAGATGTTCAACCAGTCAGCATAGAAATTAAGCTTGAACCTTTTTTTTGCTATTAATATTATACGACAATATAACATCGAGGTTAAGGGTTGGGTATTAGTTTAGTACTAAAATCCCTACATAATGACCTTTAAAAAACATGGATAACTAAACTGATTACGACCCAAGTGACTAGAGGATGTTTTCAAAGATGCTTTAAAAACGAACAAAACTTACGCTTGTTACATCTCATACCTGGGCTAAAACGGGAGCGATTGGCTAATTGCCTTAATCTTGCTCGGAAATTTTCATAACGCACATAAAAATCCCTACATTTAAATACTTTTTTCTTAATTAATCGGTTGTAAATTGTATTATAATACGACATACGTATATATATATATATATATATATATATATATATATATATATATATATAGAGAGAGAGAGAGAGAGAGAGAGAGAGAGAGAGAGAGAGAGAGAGAGAGAGAGAGAGTCTCTCTCTCTCTCTCTCTCTCAAAGAAAGAAAGAAAGAAAGAGAGAGAGAGAGAGAAAGAGAGATAGAGAGAGAGAGAGAGAGAGAACGACACGTTAAAAAAAAAAAAAGAAATCTCTACAAACCTGTGAAGCCAGACTCGTCAATTCGATTGCAGAACGGACACGCTGTGAACACAGTCCTCAGCAACACCCCGCTGTTCATTGGACTGTTGGGGCTTATCCGATGAACGTAATGAAACCAGGTCTGGTGTATGGAAGAACAAACAAACGAAACGTTTACATAAACTTATTGCTTCAAGTCCACGAAAAGGGAAATGAGCAGTGTAATATAAAAATAAAATCCTTTGTGCAATAAGAATGTGATTTTGAAAAGACGAAAATGTTTTAAGAGTGCAGAATAAAATCCTGACTATGTGAAAAAAAAGAAAAATGTATCTCGATGCGTCGGAGTGCTTCTATAAGTAAGAACAAATGTTTTTTCTAATGAGTAGAATTGTTCCAATTATTTTATCAGTTGCTTCAAGCTTTATTGTAAACAAATAGAAATAATATATACTCGCACAAGAAGAGTAGAATGACGGCAGGCCAGCTTTACACACCAGTAATTACATTTCAAATTACATTGATAAATACTCACTGATTATAAAACAAGAGCAAGGTTTTATAATATATCAATGAATTAAATAAGTTAATGTAATATTGCTTAATTTTTACATTTTCTTTGAAACATTTTTGATATGAAATTAAATGTACACAATTTTATCAATTTCATCCATTCCTACCTGGTAAGCGAATTCTGATGAAGGCTTTGTTGTGTTCGTTTTAAAATCAACCTTGCTGTAGATGTAGTAGAGTCCTGGAAAATATGTGAATTTTAAAGAAAACATTGCTACAGCCAAAAAATATATATATATAAAATAAAAAGATGTATTGTTAACTTCAAAGTAAAGGCAACAAAAACTTCAAAATAAACAATAATTTACTTTGATTTAAATGGGGAAAATACATGCTTTTAGCTAAAGCTTCTGTTTTACATTAAATAACCTTATTGAAATATATCATCAGTCCTACCTGAGTATAAAATGTGAATGCCGTTGTCGCCGACGTGAATGCCGCGAGCGTGTTGACTAGCGCCTGAATCATCAGACGGTACCTGCAACTTGGCCTCAATGTGGTCTTTGTTGCTGAAGTTTGGCTCTGAGACGAAAAATGGGATTTATCAAACAATTTTTTTTTTTTTTTACAGCATGTACAAGTTCTTGATTTGAAGTGGTATGTTGTTGGATGTCCGATCTTTTTTTAAGTATGCCTACATGTATTTTACAACATGTATAAAAACATATTTTTAAATATTGATAAGACCTGTCAGATTAATAGCCTTAATTTATTATTTTATTGCATAAAAAATTAATTCTACAAGAAGAAAATAAAATGTAATATTGTGACTCATCAATATTTATTTTGAAATGAATGTACTGCAACATGACGTACCGTTGTCACCTTCAGTTCCTGGCATTTTAGGTGGTGATTGAAGGTGTATGTGAGCGCTTGATGGAGTATGCGCTGTGGAGAGAGAGAGAGTAAATACATTCTATATATTTTATACAAGCTAGAAACATCTTGTTCTTACTTAAACAGTGACAATGTGTACGAACATTTTATAAATACAAAATAATAATAATTTATTAAAGGAAAGTAAATAATACAATAAGACACTATATAAAGTGCATTACATATATTAATATTTTCTTCACATTTTCTTGACACCTTAAAAAATATCGATTGAGAAAAGTGTTAGATTATGGATCACTTAAAACAACCAATAAAAAGGAATCGACTGTTAATGATCGTATATTTATTTTTTTTTTAAAGTCATTTTTTTAAAAACTTAAAACCTAGGTGCACAATATAGATTACTATCACCTAATTCACATAAATTACTTACATTTTGTGTTCTGTGGCTGAACTGAATTCTGAAATTTAGGAATGGTTTAAGATCGTTAAAAAAATTAAAATGTTCAAAAGTTAAAAATAAAATAACACGAAACCAAAGTAAATGTACCCTCTTCCCGAAACAACATCAAGATACACTCGTAAATAATTAATATCCTAATTTTCAGTTAATGTGTTAATCGTAAATTTAAAAAAAAAATATACCCCCCCCCCCGGTCAACCAACAAACTGACTATGTTATCGTAAAAAATTAAAATCCTAATTTTCAGTTAATGTGTTAAACGTAAAATTAAAAAAAAAAAATACCCCCCCCCCCCCGGTCAACCAACAAACTGACTATGTTACGTGCTGAATATTTCCTCACAGCCAATTCAGTGGAACGAGTTATCTCGATGACTTTGAATAAGATAAGCCCATAATTTCTCCAGTAAAATAACTGATTATGTCTATTAACCTCCCGAACGTCTTGTTATCGCTTGATACAACACTGTCGCTGTTAGTGCTGTTGTTGTTTTTCCCCCTCGAAACCAACAGTTTCAGAGTGCACCGCAATCTTTATCATATCCTCATCGACAATATCGACATAATTATAGGTTAATTTTTTAATGACACGAAAGAGAACATTCTAACATGGCTTTGGCGTACCTCTAGGGTGTCATGGGTAGCTCTGGTTACTTCTTCCAACATCTTGTTGATTTCTTCAAGTTTCCCAAACAGTGAAGAATGAGTGCAAGATAAACAAATCTTATTTTTTGCTGAGGCTGAGATGAAGTCATCAGATCGGAACTGAATGATGCATTGGATCAGTAAAAATAAACAACTCAATGAAACGACTCTAAATAAAGTTGTGCCTACTTTCAAATAATTGAATCAGATGCTACTGAAAATGCATCGGTAAAACATATCGTTAATTAAAATAAATATATGTATGTTTATATAAAGTAATTACTAACTTATTAAAAAACTTGTTTTCTTGTTTTTTTAGCATGTTTTTTGTGGGTGAAGGGCGGGGTGTTAGACTACAATAACATTTTGGTTCCCATTTGGCGCTCAACAATAAGGTTCTTTTTATTGTACTTCCAAATAGTATTATCGTTCAAAGTGACAAAAGTTATAGAAAAACTGGTAATTTATAAATATATGAAATCGGTGGGATTGATCAATATGCAGATCGAAAGATTCAACTGGTATTTTGGGCTCTGTAGCCTCTTTACGATCATTCCATTAGTTCTATATTTCATACATATCCAATCTTGGTCTTAAAATATGTCTTCGCACAGCTGGAAGCAGCCTCACCATATTATGACTAAAAATATAGTGTTATTCCACAATGGCATCATTACCTCAGCGTTCCTTATCTTGACACACACAGTAGCAATTGAGATGACCGCTATTATCAATGACGCAAATGATACAATGAAAGAAAACCTGAAACGTCAAGAACATCATCTTGAAATGTGGTTGTGTTTTAATAGATCATAACAAGCTTAAAACAAACTTTAAATGACATGGCAAATCGTTTAGATAATAATAACCCAAATAAACAAATTGCAAATCATACCAAAATGACCGCATAATTGAACATGAATATCAACTTTACGTATGCAGGGATCTATGATAAATGTCGTGAACAGTTAAATGGATGGTAATAATCATCCCAACAATCTAAATATTATCAGCTTTTATATATTTTGCATAGAGGATCCCATCTACTTGAAAGTAACTGGTATGAATCTACAGTGGTGACGTATGCTTATAGCAGTGTCTCATTAAAAAACGTTTATTCGATTTAAGACAGTGAGATTCAAAATTGTATTTATTGCTTAAAAAACAAAAAAACATTGGTTAAGCTGACAAAAGGGTTTATGTTAACTTAAATCAATCTGAAACAAGACGTACCCCTCAAAGGTGAAACATTGACGAAAAGACCGCTTCGACTGAACGGTTGGTCCATGTTTGTTGGTTACATTTTTGTTGTAAAATCTGTTGTCCATGTTGTAAGGAAGAGTTGCAAAATATTTGGAATCGCCATCTTTAATATTTTTATATTTTGTGTTTATAATTTTCCAAAGCATAGAGCAACGGTTTTGCATCGTCCGTAAAGAATCCAGCAAGCCAATGTCACATGACACACATTCCACTTCCAACCAATCATCGTTCAGGTTTGATCTCTTGATGGACACGGCATCGAGGGTCACTGGGCGGCCATCTCGAGCGTCGCTCAAAACAATTCGCGTGGTTTCTATCTCTTCCAGATCATCAGAAACAACATGATGTGCTTTTGTCAAGATCATCACTTTCCCCCATTCTATCTTTGGTTTTTCAGAGTGTTGACACTTCTGACAAAGACATGTGCCTTTATTGTCACTAATTGTATATTTATAAACATTACACACGCGGCCAATAACTCTTTTCTCATCAAATTTGAGCATTTTTGAAATTATAAAGCTAACTGTTACAGTTAGGCCATCGAGTACTTTGATAAACTCTTCTTCAATGTCCTCGTTAGACTCAGTCGATACTTCTATATTTAACGCACAAATCAGTTTAAGGTTTTCTTCGAATGTGTCCTTGATGAGTGAAGTGTACACATCCGTTAGACCTTCCTCGTATTCTTCCCGGACTTTGTCCTTGAGCGTCACTGGGAAAAAGAAAAAAAAAATATAGTTCTTTTTTTTAACAATAAAAACAAATTTAAAAATGTATTTTAAAATTGTATACATTGTAAAGTGATTATAAGGCATAAAAATGACAATGAACAGTCGAGAAAAATAGCACGTATTATCCCTAATGTGCTACGTGGGGAGTGAGTTTGTCGTGTAGGCCAACTAGTTAAAACAAAGCTGTTACCTGAAAAGTTAGATGTTGTAGCTTCCACATTTTGATAGTCAACATGCTGATTCAACTGAAACATACGAAGTTTAATTCTTACGTGAAAAATAAAAATAATATCCATTTTTAAATTTAGCATTTAAAAATAAAACTCCATTGACTTCATCATTTATTAAATTTAATTACATTTCTTACAAAACGCGGGCCCAAAAGTTAATAAAATACCATGTTTTAAAAAATTACAAAATTGACAATTTGCAATTAATGTTTTTCTTATATTATAAAAATTACTTTCAGCCCCCCCCCCTTCCCCCTTTCACTTATCCAAACACACACATCCAGCAACACAATCAACACTTCGATTCATCCATTAAATGAAGAGCAGGCGAACTGCGGACCCTCCGATCTGTCCAACCATTCATTTATGACCGTCCACTTATCCATCCGTTATTTGATTCGATTTTTCTATTTAATATTTAGTTACTTTTATCAACTTTCTATTAGTTTATAACATTGTTATGAATGTGTGAGTAATTGCGTGTGTGTGTGTGTGTTTGCAATATAGTTGTTGTTGAGAGTCGAATCAAATTCCTAAATCTATATTTTGATAATGAATATAAATCTTAAAATTTATACGAATCAAATCTATATTATACTTTGAGATCTTTCTCAATTAGCCCCATTCTCTCTTTACAAATTTAATAAATACAAGCCGTCAGATTTTCAATCGCCGCAGCTACCAATTAAGCACAATTAACTCAACAACAGTGCAGCCGTGTGTAGACAGCTATTCCCCACTTATTATCTCAATTAACTCAGAAAGCCGGTTTAAAATCGCTTAGGAATTTTAAATTTTGCCATTATTTTTCTTACGATATTGCTAACTTGGAACGATTCTACATTTCTATAAACAATTGTAAAATTCATTGACAGACAGATGTCTTAGAATATTACTGCAACATTACTTAAACAGTAACCATTCCGTTAAAGTGAATTGAGAGATTAATTTATTTGAAAATTGTCGACCCAAAAGGAATTATTAGAAAATTAAAAAAATTTGTTGGGAAAAAGTTTTAATATGAGATACTTACACGTAGTTCATCTTCGTGGCTACAATACTTGTCGTCCATGATCAAGTGATTACTCACAACTTTCCAATCCATTGATAAACCCTTGATAATAGAACGTTTTAATAATGATTAAAATGTATTTGTTTAAAACGTTTATTTAAAGAGTAACCCACATTTATAATAAATACGATCTTAAATGTCACTGCATCCTCTGAAATATTTATAAAATTGAAATTGAAAACAAATTGTACACGTCTGTAATCGTACAGATAAGTCGAAGTGAAAGAGGAACTTATAAGCTTGATAGCTACTGGTAATTCCTAAAATTGTTCTTTTTTTTAAGGAGGGTTTTTTTTTGTTTTGGTTTCAAATCCGTTTTCCTTATAGTGCGCGAACTTTTTAAACCACTTCATGTCCTGTATAATATGAATTAAAGCTACGTGTACTTTTATTTATCGTTCTTTTTTTTTTTTTTTTTTGGGGGGGTTGTGGCGAAGTCAACGACCACCTTGCGTCTCACAAAATCTAGTTACTCCACAGCCGCAGCGGTCATTTGTGGTGGGGTGGGTGAATATACATTTTTTTGCTGTTTTTTTATTTCATAAATGTATTTTATTTTAATGTCATGTCTATGTCTCTTTTGATAAAATGTGTAAGTACAGCGCGGTGAGCCCAGCCCTAGGCTGGGGTACCGCGCTATATAAGACCCCTTATTATTATTATTATTATTATAAGCTGTAGAGTTGATGCATACAATCTAGGGACTCGGATGCTTTTTAACCAAAATTTGCATTGAACATTTTATTGACCGATGGAAGGGATTTAATAAATAACCAACTAGAGTAAATCGGTGTTTCATGATTAATTTAAAATAATTATAAGCATCTAATTTCTTTTTAATTACCTAAAAAAGTAATAAAAATAAAAAAAATTAAAAGAGTATATATTATGATATAATAATGAATCGCGTGTGAAACGTTAGACACATAATATCTAATATGCAAAAATATTTTGCTAGAAGCTACCATTTAATGTCAACTCTCTTTCGCTATTCTAATCGATGCATATCAGGTTCCATTTTGACTAAAGGCTGTTCGGATGTCATTTGAGGTAGTTTATTTTACTTTAACTGAAGAACTAAGTTTACAAACATATAGTCCATTTAACAATCTTTCAATCGATACCAAAGTTTATCTTACAAAATCCAACAATACCATTAACTTTTTTTTTTTAAATCCCAACCTCTCACCTCTGGTCGCTGGGTCGGAATAGACACTACGTTAGAGATATTCATATTAAAATGTACCCCCACCCCAACACACACACTTTTTACTAAATTTTCATCGCCCTTGAAAGTTCAATTAGTGGTCAAACAAATAGGTCACACATTCATCTTAAATTATTTATCTAATAATTTTCTTGACTATTGTTTGATAAGACCTTTGCTTTTTTTTTTTAAAGTTCCATTTTTTTTCCCTTTATTAAGTTACATTTTTCCGAAACTATGGATTGGAAAAAACTACAACTTATTAAATGTTAAAGATGTCAACTTTAAATTTTGTGCCGTTTGAATAAACAATAGCTGAGCAGTTATGTTTTTTTTAAAAAAAAAACAAAAAAACAATTAAATTTATTTAAGATTGTGGAAAAACCGGTTATTAGTTTTACCTCGTGGTTGAATTCAAGAAAAGATAATGCTCTCGATTTGCGAGTCATTTAAGCCACCAAGAATTTTTTTTTGTATTTAATCATTATACCAAAATTACGTGACTGACTGTCATAAGTACGACAAGATCATGTTAACTAAAAGTAAATGCCCAACATTAATGGGATAAAGAGCATTTTTACATCTTAATTACAAGTATAATTTTACAAATAATGCTTTTTATACAAAATAAAATCTAACATTAGTTATATTATTCTTAAACTTCTATAATTTCTAACTATATTTGCTTTCAATTGAAATTATAGTATGGGAATGATGAAACTTTTGTGCTGGTCTTATGATATGCCATTAGGAATTTCGGGAAAAACTTAAAAATCGGGTATTTTATTTCGCCTATTGATTCTTATACTTTATATTATTAAAATGTATAAAAATACTTACACAAATTATTAAATATTAAATATAAGCATAGATATTTTATAAAATTCGATTTCCTTAAATTTATTTCAAATCCGAATCATTCATTTTAAAAATCCGGTTCACTTCTACATAAGCACAATAGAATTCTACGTCAGTTTTTCGAAATTTGTACACATAGATGATTTATATAGTCTAGTATTTCTCTAGCAAAATAACATCGGGAATTTCCATACTATTTTTTCCTCTGGCTATTTGAAGTGATGTTTTGATGTTACGGGAATACATAATGATAGTTGGACGCCCTTTTTTCTCTATAAAAATTTATATTACCTACGTCAGAAAAAAAAAAGAGGGGGGTGGGGGGGGGGGGGGGTAGAAATTTTTAAAAGCTTTTCACAAAGGGGACGATGGTGTTTAAATTAGTAGACGTCAACAATCATGTTTTCTCCTTTAAAAGTTTAATCTTAAAATTTGATTGGTTATAAAATTATTTTTACAAAAATTATAAGTTTAAATAGTCATATAATTATTATTTTTATTCTTTTTACAATATAAGATTTATTCAATGTGTTTCTGTGCACTGCAGATGCTACGGCTTGTCCGAATGTTAGCACATTTTGCTAGTGCAAGAGAAGTCAAAAGTTGGCCTCTCGTCACATGTAGCTTCTCTTTGTCGCAAATGAATAGAGTGGTACCATTTGCGGTCACATTGTAGGTATGGAACATGGACATGGTTCTGGTGTCTTGTGCAGTCAAGATAAATGATATTGATAGAGTGGGAATACGATAGTTTGAGAATTGGGGGAAAGTAAATTGAGTAACAATAACAACAGCGCTGCTTGAAAGGATTTTCAAAATCTGTAACATCTCTTGTGCACCACAAGTCATGTTGAAAAAGTGTGTTCAATAGAAACGACAATGCCCTCTTCAGCATAAGAAATTAGCACCTGCTCCTCAGCAAAAAAAGGATTCGACCAATGCGAGTAGCTGCAAGGAGACAGAGAGAGCTTATGGCAATTATTCCTCACACCGACAATGCTTCTATTTTAAGTGCTGAATGGTCAGATAAAGATGATGATGACTTTTCTGGAATATCAGTTCCGGAAGATGAAAATGATAAATCAGCTGCTACATACTAAGCTTATCAGGGGCGTCCTTTCTGGGGGGGGGGTCAGTGGGGAGGAGGGCAAAACCAAAACTTGGTCGCCTTGTTAAGTTGTTTATTACTGGAGGCACCACAGTACATATCAATTTAAATAAAACCTGTAAGTTCAAAGGGATTGGGGGGGAGGGGGGAGCAACATGCCCCCCTTCTCTATCCAAATGATGTCCATGTTGGCCATTGTTACGATACAGAAAAACCTGGCTACTCCACAGGAAGGTGATAGAAACTAGAAACTATACTATAATTGTCAGCTTTACTGACAATAATCATATTTATTCCAAAATATTATATTTAGTCTTAAACAACCTTTTATTTGATTCTGCATTATTAATTTTAAGTGTAAACACTTTTTAACTTGTTGACTAACAAGCTAAAGATGCAATATAATGTTTTTTTTGCCATATTATGTCATTACAATAGATCAGCAAAAATTAAAATAATTTAATAAATTTATTTAAATTATATATTTTTGTTTTTGTGTGTGTGGGGGTATAGGGGGGGGGGAGGTCATTGAAAGTTTGACAGTTGTTGAAAAGTGTGGGGGGGGGGGGCCAAAAATTGCGTAAAAATTGTTGACGTAATTATTGGACGACCCCAAAGGGGAAAACTCAATGACATAGCTAGGGTAAAAAGAACCACCTGGTACTGGTCAAGATTTTGGCACCCCACCACACCGTTTTCAACAACAAAAACAATCTGCTTTTTGAACGAAAACTCCACCTACCAGAGGAAGAAGAAAGAAAAGTGCATCCCTTAATGGGGGAACTCACCCTCCTTTTTACCCCTGTGTAAAGTATTCTTTATTTTTACTCATGTCCTACAAAAAAAAATTGGGTAAAATCGATACACTACACATTTTAATTTTTGAGCGCGCAAAGACTTAATTTGTCAACCAATTTTTTTAACAAAAATAGGAAGATACATTTAAAAGTAAACGTAAAATCATTTTTAATAAATAAATAAATATAGATGTGGACATTGTTAAGAAAAGATTAGAGATAATATTCCCAAAGAATTGAACTTACAGTGTGTAGAAACACAACAACATCTCAAATTTCCGAAAAATCATTCATAGATTTTTCACATTTTAATTCGTGTGGTTTAAATGCATCCTAGAGTTATTCGTAAATGATCCGACTTAATACAAATTAAATGATGAAAAGAAACAATGTATTTCAAAATAACTGAATTACAGCTATACATTATGACTGTTTTAACAGTTCATAATAATATCACGTCTTGAGACATATGGCGAGATTAAAGTAATTTAAGCTATATGGAAAAGAAAAATAAATTTCGAAGATTTCACATTAAAAAAAAATCAAAACAAAATTAATCTTGAGAGCTTTTCAAATGATAATGAAAGAGTATATGTTATACTCATTTAATAAATGTATAGTTTTGGGAAAAGAACATAGCTGTAAATTAATCATGGATTATCACACATTTAATCTTTAGATAATGTTATATAATAGAATATATACCATTGATACCGGATACTTTTGGAAGGCTTTTGAGCTAGTTTCCACTAATTCTTGCGAAGTCTTTTTTTTTTTTTTCTGGCTTCCGTCCGTCACGATGTTACGATGGGGTGTGCTTCGTAGGACGAAATCCACATAGCCTTGTCCGTCACAATGTGACGATGGAGTGGGCTTCGTAGGACGAAATCCACATAGCCTGGGATTATTATACTTGAAGGATTATAAGCTGGTTCCCAACAGCAAATCGCCTCTCTCCACGCCGCTGGGTAGCCCAAGGGAACATCATTGGATGATACAGCTTGGCACCAGTGACGTCGCAGGAGTTGTCGGAATGTTCCATTGTACCAATGTTATCCGCCTTTCGGGACTCCATCTCCGGGTTTGATTTCAGAGTTTCCTTCTCTTAGATGAGTTGCCATCCAAGGTTAACGAGTCCCATCTACCCGGGGTTCTTGCTGGAATTGAACTCCAGACCGCCAACTTGAGATTTGCTCAGTTTAGACCACCCAGCTCCCCAAGTTGCGAAGTCTAAACATCTAAAATTCAACTTTTACGAATGTAACTGGTTTGAGCTTTGGTTAATTGCAACGTTTAAAAAAATGTTGCAATTTATAAGGCCACTGAAAAGTAAATTTGGGAAACAGTTAACCAGACTATCGTTATATTTAAAGAATAATCTATGCATTGCTATATAGAAATTTACGTTCCTCGCATTATTAGGTTGGATAATTTTTCTTTTCTCTATTTAACAGAAGCCGTGATCTAGAACGAAAACATATTTTCTAAAATAAAAAAAAAATAAATATATGTGAACCATTTTAAATGTATCTGTAGCATTAATGGATTTTGACCAAAAATCGGTATGTTAATTTAAAGTTTACCTAAGTCTGTCATGCCCCTGTGCTATGAAAATAGTTTAGTAAATAATAGTTATAATTAAAGACGAATCACATTTTCACGTCTAAAAGTATGTTGTGCATTAATATTCATTCTCAATTATAAAAAGTAAAAAAGACAAAACGATGCCCCTAAACTTTATTTCTAAACGAAATGGAAAAAAAAAAACATGTACAAATAATTCATTTTATTTAAAGAGAATCTTAACCCATTCTTGCTCACAACCCTGATCTGAATTTTCGAGAAAGTAAAATGAATCTATTTTTAAAACGTACATTTCCCTGCCTGTAAAGTGATTGGGTTTTTAGATATTATCTACATTGATTCCCTTTCCAGTTTAAATAGGTTTTAAAGTATGGGTATAATTAAGTAGATGTGTCCTAAATGCTTCACAGCCCTTAAGCTGATTTCTTCGACATTACTATAACACGTTTTACTTATTTTGATAGAAAATTTTAATGTAAAGTTGTTCATCGTAATTAACCTTATTACTTGTCAAAACTATAAAAGTATTTTAAACCGCACATTCAGAAATAAATAATTTTAAAATTCTGCTTTTTATTAAGAAATAATAATAACATTGTAAAGATTACAATTATTTAAATATCCATCCATGTGGCGCTACAGCCCTAGGGCTTTGGCCTGCCTCACTACTTACTTCCACTCAGACCTAACTAATTCTTTTCTTTTCCATGCTTGGATTTTCAGTTGTTGTAGATTTTTTTTTCACATCATCCATCCGTCTATGCCTAGGTGTGCCTTTGAGCCTTTTCCCTCTGGGGTTTTGGTGATGAATCCTCTTCGTTGCTCTGTCAGTTGGCATTATCTCTAATTGTCCTGCCCAGCGTAGCCTGCCTCTTTTTATTTCTGCCACTATCGTAGGATCCTGATATTGACTGTATAATTCCTGGTTGGTTCGTATTCTCCATCCATATTCATCCTTTGTTGGTCCATATATTTTCCTGAGAACTTTCCTCTCCCATGTGTTTAATAGGTTTTCTGCTGTTTTTGTTAGGGTCCAAGTTTCATTTGCATATGATACAACTGGTCTGATCACAGTTTTATAAATAGTTTTCTTTGTTTCTCTTGTAATGTTTTTACTTTTGAGTATTTTCTGCCTACTGAAGTATGCCCTGTTTCCAGCTGATATTCGTTCTTTTATTTCTGTTAGTAATTCGTTTCTTTCATTTAATAAATATCCTAGGTATTTGAAATGATTTACTTTTTCAAAAGTCTGGTTTCTAATTTTAATTGCTTCATCTGTTTTTTCTTCTCTTATCATGGTTATGTATTTTGTTTTTTGGTTGTTAACTTCCAGCCCTGCTTGTAAAGATGCGTCTTCTAATTCAATTAAGGATTTTGATATGTCTTTTATACTTTTCCCTAGAAGTGCAATGTTATCAGCATATGCAAGATACTGAAGTGGTTGGTTGAAGAGTGTGCCCGTTGGTTGTTGGTCTTGAGTTTCACATCAGAAAGTATCCTGTTATCGTTCCTCGAGTGTCAATGTGTATGTTTCTCATAACTCTCTCTAATGTTAGGATAAAAAGCA